AAAAAAAAAAAAAAAAAAACTTTTTTCAGGCCCACCTTGTTGTGGCTTATAGTACCAGATATTGCAACATTGAGAGGATTTCTAGTCGATTCTGTCTTACCATTAAGTACAGAAGGCCAAAAAAAGATAAAACAGGGCTCTGTAAAACCAATACTAATTATCCCATGTGTGATAACCAATTAACCATCTTTTCTCTGGTCTCTTGTCACCTAAATCATTACCCTGGTTGACTAGTACATTGATGTAATATTCCCTAATCACCAGAGCTGCAACGAAGACAATGGCAGTGAAAACCAAACCCTTTGAGCAGGAGATTTTGTCGAGCATGATGATCCATGCTTGCATCAATATAGCATATCCGAAGCTCCTCACCTAACAACAAACAAGATTTTGGGATGAAACCAAATAAAAACATTTATTCTCATATATAAACGTTAGACTAATGATTCCAAAATGACAACAGACAACCATTTGATAAAACCTGATTCAATATCACGCAAAGCTTTCAATCTGGCATCCACATTCTCTACCCATACAATGTGTGCATTGGCATCTGAAGAGATAGAAGACTCAGTTATCCAGAAGTTTGGATTTGGAATAACATCACATTTGGTGTGTGAGATCTATAATAGATACTTGAGGGAAAAAAAAAGGGCTCCTAAAAGTCATACGGGTTTCTTTTTCACAAGGAAACATTATCCTGGCCATATAAAGAAATAATGTGCCAATACAGACGATCCATTCTAGAAGAGACCTTTTGGAATAGTCACTTGTGCAAACCTTATCACTATATGGTAACCTGTATCACTAAGTTCCACTTTTAATTGCTAAGAATGCAAGTATAGATATCACTTAGAATGTATTTTCATGCTTGATTAGAAACTAGAAAGAAAAACTATCAAATAACAGTAGGCACTAAGATGTATCAGAGAAATGAGATAGCCTACCACAGTCATGATTGTAGAAGGATGGAAGCATATAAACAGCATTACCCACAGCAACTTCAGCTTCAACAGAGGCTGCTGCTGATAAAAACAGATCCTCATATGATCTTCCAACCAATTCAACACGAAATGCATTGATGCGGATACRTGCCAGCACCCCCATATACCATTGCTTGGTTAGAACTGGTAATGTCAAAGATAAATCATCTCCCAAAGAATGTTAAGCACAAAGCAGCACCATCTAGGAAAAGAAATGAGATGCCAGACAGGGATAGCTCCATCACATTGAGGATACAGGCTATCTGCTCATCCTGGATGC